TGAGATAGCTCTTCATGTGTCACACTTGGGGCTAAAGAACCCAAGTGGAGGGGGAGAGAAAATAACATGGTTAAGTGAAAGGACAATGTTTGAGATAAACCTAAGTGGAGGTTGGGTGTATGGTTTTATATGTTTTGAGCTGGGCTCCACCTCAGATGGTCATAAAAATTGAGATCCAATGTATACAGTATCTATAACTCCCTAGGAACAGAGAAGGTTTTCCATGTTGTTTGCCTTCCTTGTCTCTCAAGATTGTCACCTAAACCTACTAACATCAAATTATAGTGCTTTGTTTATATTTTAAGATTATAATTAAGGAAGGAAATATAATCTAAGAATGCCAACAGTCATTCTGAGATCAGAATCAGGTGATACATGTCCTAAATCAGGGGTGAATACTTCGTCTCACTTAGCAGGTTCTCCAGGTGGAGAAAAGAACCAAGCCGGCATTTCTCTCAGACTCTCTGGGCTTTACTCTGCGTACCATATGGCTTTACCTGACCACTCCTATTTATGATGACAAATATTGAACTTAAACTGTAGCAGTTCCCACAGTATTGTAATATTAATCCTTGCAGGAAAATGAAAAGTAGCTCCTGACCAACTTGTTAGGAAAATCTGATCTAAGCCAGGCACAGTGGCTCATGCCTGTAATCCCAGTGGCTCTGGAGCCTAAGGCAGGAGGATCACAAGTTCAAAGACAGCCTTAGCAATTTAGAGAGGCCCTGTCTCAAAATAAAAAAATAAAAAGGACTGGGGATGTGGCTCTGAATTCAATCTGTTACAAAAAGAAAAAAGGAAATCTGATCTAGTACCTTTGCACACATTTTGTCCATTAAGATGGTTAAGATGGTGCATAAGTCCCATATTCTTACCATCTCCTTGAGTCATATTTCTTTTGTGAACTCCTGTGCATACATACATAATTAAATCTGTGTTTTAATCATACTCTCCAGCTTTTATCAGTTTGATTCATAGGCCTGAGTCACTCAACCAAGCAGAGTAGAAGAGGTTTTTTTTTTTTCCCTCCACTATAAATTAAATTGTAGTCTTTATGTTATGTAGTGAAACCAATTCAAATACTTCAGAACAGTAGGAGGCATAAATAATAGAGTGTTAAGTGCCATGCACTAAATTAAATTTCAGACAGCAGTGTGTTTAATTTTGAACACCAAGAAGAACCCACTCTAATGTGGAGACATGCGAGAGCATAGTATTCAAAGACACTTGGACTCTTGGTCAAAGAACCAAGAATTCAGAAAATTTTGCTATTTAAAATTTAATAATTTCTTTATGATGCATATAATACTATACTTTTTTCCTAGGGAGTTATTACAATTTTTATGCCCATGGCTGATGGTTCGGTATTTCAGGGGAGGAAAGTTACAGTTAATTTAAACATGTTTAAAAAATTCTTTTACCACTGGATTTCTCATTAATCCAAGGAAATGTCCTCTCGAATCAACCTAATCCTGCCACACTCAGGCTCATTTCCTCCTTCTAGCCCTTTCTTAAGCTGAAACACCACCTCCCCCTTATCTCCACCCAGCACCTTTCCCTTCTTCCCTACTTAAACCAAAGTAGCAAGCTTCAAAGATATGGACACCCCCATCTCCTCCATGCAAACTTCCTAGAATTGTACTAGCCTTTCTTAGAATCCTCTTCTTGAACTGGTGTCTAGACCAATTACTTTATAAATATTGTCTTCCCAAATGAGATTAAATATTCCTCACAAGTAGGAGTTGCTTTTTCTTATTTTGCACAGAACAGTTCTCTACATTAAGGCACTTAATGAATACTTATTACTGTTTGGCCATTTATCAAATATCCATGAGCATGCAGTGTGTGAAACACTGGGAATAAAACACTCGACTTCACACAGCTCTACCTTTCCCAGAGCGCTCACATGGAAAAGCCATAAACTTGCAATAATGTTTGGACCAGTGTTTTGTGTGGCTAGTGCAACGTTTAAAGTGCTCTGAATTAGGATTCCTCTGAGCTGGGCATTTCACTCTCTAGTCACAGGCCTCTGTTGCACCCTTGTGCACATTACCAATCCAGCTTCACTAATTTGCTACCTTCAGCCCCTTGTGAAACACTCCTAAGGAATAAATTAATTCTTAAAATACAAGGCTCTTCCCATATTAGATGATTAGAGTTATTTATCCAAACTTTAAACATTATAGAACCCTGAGTGGTTTTCTCTACCACCAATTTGGTCCATATTGTTCATTGTACTCTTGCTATGGAAAACAGGCCCCCATTAAAGAATTCTCAAATCCAAAGGCAGATGGTATATTAGTTAATTAGAGAAAGAAAACAGAACTGTTTAGCAGCTGTTTTGCTGCTTTAAAAGCAAATGAGCTTCAAACTGAAAAAGATAGAAACCTCATTAAGTGAGAACTAAGGTGCAAGCAGAAGCAGCCACTTTAAAGCCAACAGGTGACTTCTAGTGACTCATTTCCAAGGTTGCAAGAGAATCTGCAGGTGTGAGCACAAGGATACAGCTAACCTGGAGAAGGAAGGAGGTCTCCAGAGGCTGGAGTCACACACACAACCTCTCATCCCAAGTGTTTTTATTTTGTAATACTCAGAATTGAAGAAAAGAAAATTCCTAAGCATTATATGCCAGTAGTCTGACATCAATCTCTGGCAAACTCCAAAACTTAATGATAAATAGGCAATACTTTTTTTTTGGGGGGGGGGGGGGGGGGGGTGGAGATTAGAGATATCCAAGAATTAGCAGTTCACTAAAAATCATTTTAAAACTAACATCATTAAGTCTTTGTTATAGATTAGGGAATACCTAAGGTCTTTATTGTTAGCAAGACATTTGATTAAAATTTTTCTCATTATATCTTTATGGGCAAGACCAGTCTGTGGACTAGAACAGTTTATGAACTATAACTGACTGACTTATTAAAATAAGTCAAAATGCTGAGTTCAGCTGATTCATTAATTTCAACAATATCTACTACTTAGAAGCAACTATATCTCCAACCAGTACTATATTTGGCACTTTCAGTATGCTGAATTTTCACAACCACTCTGAAAGGCAAATGTTACTAACTTCATTTTACTGATATGGAAAAGAAGCTTCTCGAGGATATCAATCTAGTAGATTTCAGGAACAAACTCCAAAACCAGGTTCCAAAAATCCAGGGCCATTTCTACTATGCTGTAGGCTTCTAGATGAGCCACCTTCATAGCAATATGTTATCAGTGACTTGAATGTCTGCTGAATAAACTCACTGAATGTCCAGAATTAATATGATGAATGTCACAACCATGGCTAAAAATATCTAACAGAGTGGAGATTGGAGAGAGTTTCAAAGTAATATAAGCCAACAGAACAAAAATTTCAGATTTGAGAAATGTTAAATTGCACAGTTTAAAAATTAATAAAGCCTACCTTAATAGCCAAGTGTGGAGGTTCGGTTTTAAGTCAACTTTGGAGTATTTATTTGAAGATGGGAATTCATTATACTCTGAATAATGACTTATTTACTTCATTGTGGTCTAAGGATCTTTAGCACAAGAAGGGTCTTAGGTAAGGAAGGAAACAATGATCATCTATTAAAGATACCATTTTCTGACTTCTTGGCACCTAATCTACATCTTTAATTTCATCTTCACAACCATCCTCTGGGCAGATGGAGTGTATTACCATTCCCATTTAGCAGATAATAGATCCAAGACCCAGAGATCTGAAAGGCTGTCAAATAGACAAAAATCTTAATTTAGACCTTTTATTTCCTAACTATTTTTGGTCATGGATCCTTTTCAGATTCTAGGTGAAAATTTTAGATCTTTGCAAAAAAAATAAAAAAGGCCTTCAAATAATTTCAAAAGTTGGAAGATTATTGGCAAAAGTCAGACTAATGAAAAACAAGTCCAAGTAAGCAGTTGTTGGGTGTAAACAAGGTCTTGCTAATACTAACCTTCAGGAGAGATACCTCAAATTATATTTAACTCCCTGGCACTGAAGTGGAGTGTGGCTGGTCTGTCAGGAATGCTGCAAAAGGGAGATTAAAATGGACTGGAGGATGGTCTATGATTTTAAAGTATCCTTTTGCTGTAAGATTGTGGGCCTAAGTAATTTTGCTTGATGGCAAAGTTAAAAACTCAAGTTACTATTTTTCCAGACCATTCTGCCATACCTAAACAATGTAATTTCCCATTTATATATGATAGCTAGATCAGGTAATAGAAAGCAATTTCATCCAAAGGAAAAAAAGGATTATCCAAGTGTTCATCTTGGTTTGATTTATACTTTGTCATAACGAAATAGATTCCGTATTCCTATGAATTCTTATTTAACAATCTCTCTAAGAGAAACATTATATACATCAAATCCCCAAAAGATGGAGTCTTTGATATGAGTATTACTAGCTTATAATTTTATGTTAAACTACTTCCATAAAGAATGGGGAGAGGAGTGTCAGAACAGAGACAAGGGAAGCAACTCCCATTGCCCTGCTTTGCTCCTCAGTTCCTTTGCTCATGGCTGAAGATCTAACCAGTTTACCGGCTTGCTTTCTCATTGGCATTATTTCTTCTCTAGAGTCAGCCTCTCACAGCTCCTAAGAGCACAAGAGCTAAGACTTTGCTCATCATATGCCACTCAGAGCACAAGCCTGACAGCTTGACATATGAAAAAAATTTGACGGACAAACCTTTTACCCGAAAATCTTCACTCTTCAGGTGGGAAGGAAGGTGAAACTGTAGCTCATAAAGAAATACCTCTAATTGAGGGCTTAGAACAAGATGAAAGGGGTGGGGGCTAACTCTCCGCAGTTCGGGAACTGAGATGTGAAGCTCAATCCAACACAGTTGGCCGAGAAATATCTGATTTAATTAAAGCCTCCTGTAACTCATGGGTTTCTGCCATTGAAAAAGCAATAGGGTACAGCTGACAGACTGTACACAGACTGTACACTGAGCACAGACCGACAGACACGCGCGCGCCCCGGGGACCCACCTCCCAGATGTTCACTTACACCACACATCACCAGGGCAGCTGCGCGGCCATCGCAGGTGTGCACCGCCCTGGGGACCCTGGAGGCATCCGGCGCTCGGAGGGCTGCGTGCCGGGGCCAGTGCCCGAGCTCCCGAGCAGGCGCTGCTCTTGGGAGGGGGCTTGCTGGCGTCAGGGCACGCGGACGCTGAGGCCGAGCAGGGGCAAAGTGCAGTCTGTGGCCGGGCAGTAGCGCCGCCTTCCCACAAACGCCGGGTTCAGTCAAGTGGCAGCGTTTGGAGGACGGGGCGTCCTTCGGTCGCGCTCCCGGCCCCTCCTCCTGCCGCCGCCGCCGCCGCCGCCGCCGCCGCACCCGCCGCGCGCTCGTCACGGGTTCGCGCCCCGCTCCCGGCCGGCCCCGCAGGTGGCAGCCGAGGGGCGCGCTCTCCCCCGTACGCCCTCTGCGGGCAGCACGCGAGTTCCGGGAGGCGGCGGGGTGCCGTGGTGAAGTCCGCAGGCACTAGGTCCGAGCGCGCGGGACAGTGGGTCCCAGCCACCGCGCTCACACCCACCCTCAATACACTATCTGTACTGCTGCCACTTCCCCAGCAGGAGCTAGACTGCCCAAGAAATTATGAAAGCTGAGTGAGCAAGTCACTTCACTACCCTGTTCCCTTTTGGGAGCCACTTGAGCTATGATTTCACTTGCGCTCTGCACTGGTTTAAAGCAGGCGCTGTTCCCAAGGCCCCTTGGAAGTCACGTGGCCCTTGGAGCGAACAGGTGCTCGGCCATGGCGCTGTACCTGTTCAGGTGAGCTCCAGCAGCCTCGCTGCAGCCTTCCTTTCTAAGCCAAAGATTCTGGCTCCCTGGTTCAGGCTATAAGCCAACTTTGACCCCAGGCCCACAATAGGCCTAGGCCAGGACTGCCCTTCCTAACTAGTTTGCACTGTAAGTATGCAGAGCACACTACTTAAAAATTTACAGGATGCATCCGTTTTGCATTTTTCAGGCGTGTCTCTCCTTAATTAAATGTCTCGAAAAGCCATTTTCTCACTCTGAAGAACTGAGCCGCCACTACCTCAAAACACGGCCACTATTCAGTTACACTTCTCTGCACATTCCATGTGATGCCTGCATCTGTCCAGCATGATTCCCAGCAATAATAACAGCCCCAAGAGAACTACAAAAGAACCATTATTTTCATCGTGTTCTACAATGAATTAGTCAATGCAAAATTCATGCCTGAAGGGACCTTAGTGATCATTTCACTTGACTACTTCACATTACAGATGAGGATGCTGAGACCCAGAGTCCAGCTGCAAAATTAAACTGGGAAAAGACTGGAGCTTAAAAAGTCTGCAGTCTGAAAACTTACATGAGATTTAACTCTTTGAAGCTACAATATATAAAGAGTAAACCTAGATAGCAAAGGAATTGAGAAACATAAGATAGAGAAAACCTTGCTCAGAATCTTTGAGACTTTTTTGTTGGGGAGAGGGGTCTCTAGTTATTGAACCCACGGATGCTACATCCCCTGCCCTTTTTATTTTTTATTTTTATTTTTTATTTTGAGAGGCTCACTAAGTTGCTAATGCTGGCCTTGAACACTTGATTCTTCTGCCTCAGCCTCCTCAGTCACTGAGATTACAAGGCATACACCACTGTGACTGGCTTCTTTGAGACTGTAAATGAATCAAGCATTCTTATTTTTTTTAAGAGAGAGATAATTTTTTAATATTTATTTTTTAGTTTTCGGTGGACACAACATCTTTATTTTTTTATTTTTATATGGTACTGAGGATTGAACCCAGCACCCGGCACATGCCAGGCAAGCGCGTTACCACTTGAGCCACATCCCCAGCCCAACATTCTTACTTTTTTACTATGCTTAAATTAGTTAAGGTTACTTATATATTATAGAAATGTAATTTTCATTATGCTAAATGACTAACAGAATTGATATTATTATATTCTAACAATCATAGAGCATCAATACACTTATATTGATGCATCTGATAAGTATCAATTTTTAATATATACAAATTGATTATACTTAGATAGAATATTTAGTTCTACAAATTTCAGGCACACATGCTAGATAATTATGATCAAATGCAAGGTTCCACCTTGCCTAATTCTTCACTGATGTCGTTTGCTTGCCTTCTCCCTTCCCTAGTTTTAAGACTCTGTCAACCTAGTGCTGAAATCATCCTTAGACAACCTCTGGCTTCCACAGTGAGAGATGGGTGTCAGTCTAGATGTGCTCTAGGCAACAAGATAAACAGTAATTTGTAATTTTTGCTTCCCAGTTATCAGGGTAGAAGGAAAAAGTGGGTGGGAAGAATCAGTCTCTGGCTTCTACCAGAAAAGGAACCTAGGTACATGACACCCCTCCTTCAGATCCTCTTCCTCTCTGCAGGGCCTCCCATTATCACCCATGAAGACTGGCTCAGAATCCCAATTCTGAGTATTGGGTGGGAGTAGGAGGTAGGGAGGGCCTTGGTCTCTCTCCTCAGAACTGCAGGCTGTGCTTCTGGTGAAGATGGTGCCATTGTAATCCCCAAAGGGGAGTGCTTAGGGAGAATGTGGTGTCCACCTGCTGCTGGGATTTGGAAAGACTGGCTTTCCTCACAGCTACCCCAGTCTGGAACTGGAAGTCAGGGCCTAGCATTTCTGCCCTCCTATCTTCCTCTCAGCCTGGCTTGAACAAGAGTAGAGGAGGAGGTGAGAACTCAGAGCTCCTCAAACTGGTGGTGACAGAAACTGTACAAGTTTGAAAAAGGGTACCTTTTAAAACATGAGAAGAGGAAGGGCCACAGACAGGGCCTGATATCAGTGTGGTTAAGATGACGGTATTGGAGAATAACAAATTTTTTGTGGGTTTTCTTTTGGGGAGAAGGCCATGGAAAATAAAAATTTTAAGTATCAAATACTGATATTTGAATATGTTGTCAATAAGGAAGAAGTTTTGAGCTGGATTTGGACTGCATGCCAAGTAGTAGCCTTCAATTAATAGAATAAAATCAAGGGATCCCCATATACTTTTCCCTTAAAGAACTCCAATTTCACCCCCCTAGTCCCATAAAACTTCCATTTCTACTTCAGAGACAGATGGATCACAGAGAGGTATGCAGCAGACTCCTTCCATTCTCATCCCTACTTAAACAAGAGCACCTTTAATTTCCTTTTTTTGCTTCAGGAAGACCAATCAGAGCGTGTTCCTCAGGGGGAAGCAAAAAAACCTCCTCACTAAAAGAACTCTAAATAGTGAAATGATGTGACCCTGTCCCTATCAGGAGAGATCTGCACTCTGGGCTCACCTCTCCATCATGTTGCTTTTACTACTTATCAGAGAGTCAAATGTCACAATTTGTTTTCTGATAATGAAGTGAAGAGATGAGGACAGGTTAGGTAGATGGAATAGCTCTAATCACCTGGAGATTAGAGCATATATGTTTGTTCATGAGAGATATGAAAATCACAGAAAAGATTTATAAAGAATAGATGACTCTTACTGCGCACCCCCCCACACATTCCTACCCAGAAAACATCTCAGGTTATGAAAAAGAGACCAAAGTCAACTGGGCAGGTAGAAGAAAACTTAAATGCTCACAAAATTTACTGCAGAGACAGAAAACATACCATTTTGGGATATAAACCCTGATAGAATTAAGGATGATCTATGAGAAAACACATTTTGAGATTCTATGATCTCTTTTCTCATATAATAGTGGTTAAGGGGAAAACTTAGTGGTTACTGAAAAACAAGGCTACTTCTACTTTTCTCACTGATACAGGTTTTATGTGTGTTTTTAAAAAATGTATTTTGGCTACAATGGTCTCTTTAAAATAGTGAACTTATGTTACATGTGCTAAGATTTTATTTAGATTTGGCTAAGAGACCCAGATATCTTCTCTGAGTAGGCAACAGACACATTTTTGTGTCAGACTCTAGACTAGAGTTTTAGGGTGTAAAACTTCAAAATTTAAGAAGCAGAAATGGTTTACTGATTCTTTAACACTTTCTGTAGCCCAAGACATCTAAGAGTCTTGATACAGAACCAGCTGTAGGCTGTTTTTTTCCTATAAGTTTTTTTTTCCTTTTTTTCCCTATAAAATTTTCCAGCATCCTATCCCTGGTCTCTCAGTTGCCTCTATGCCCAAACAGGCTTTAAAACCCTGTCAATCTTAATCACATTGTTGCAAAAGACCTCTTCTTATTTAATACTTTTCCAGAATCAAAAACCAAATTGCCAGATTACCTGACATTAAGATGGGACCAGTTGTTGTTTATGAATAATGCGTTATAAGACATTGCTAAGAACCAGATAAATATTACAGTAATAATTGCTCCAAAATTTATGATTTCAATTGTCATATTATATTGAATGTTTTTACTTAGGGCATATGTGCCTTTCAGTATGATTCATTTTCCATTATCTCCCTGCCCTGATTGTTACAAGCAATCTGTCCCAATTGGATGGAAACAGTTCAGTTTCCTCCTGGGATTCTGAATTTTCACATATTTGTTTAATAGCTCATAAGTTTTAAGTTCAAGCTAATATTCAACAAATATACGTTGAAAGCAGCATAGCTACATAATTAAAAACAGTAGGATTTTTTTTTTTTTTCTGGAGAAGTTAGGGGAAGTTAGAATAGATGACCTGACACAGAGTCATATTCTACATTGCTCTTATGGGCAGTACTAGAACCAAAGGAAAGATGACACTGCAGGAAGATTTGGATTTAATTAACAGAGGTCTGACTTGTGGTTATATCTTACAGCAGGAAGGTCTGGTTTGTGAAATAAGAAACTGTTTCTTCAACCACAAGTTAGATGATCTTTCTGGTATGTTATAATGGAGGTTTCTAAAAAGAATAGTAAAATTCCATATCACTAAGAAAATTTAAGGCAAGATTCTATAATTTTAGGAGTTGAGTTGAAATTTAAGGCAAGATTTTATAAGTTTAGGAGTTGAATTCATGAACACTTGGCCTTTGGACTGTATACATCCCAGCACCGCAAGGCATCATCTTGAAGTCTTCCTTGTACCCTCTAGAAGGACAGTATTGCTGTTGTCTTTGGCTAAGGAGGCATTCCCCAATCTTTTTGAGTTTTTCTTAGAAAGCAAATTAACTGCCAAATGTTGAACAAATTGGTACTCAAAAAATCCCAACTAATTCAACATAAGAAACTGGTTATCCATGTAGGAATATTTTATGGCTTGTGATATTTCACTTAACTGCTAACCTCCTTTGACGGAGTCAGATGCTACTCTAACT